GATGCGCATACGTTTTCCTGGCAACAAAGCCACATATCTGAACACCTAGTCTCGTTTCCTCTCTCTTCCTCGTACCACATTACCGATGTACGCATGCCGGTGTTAAATGCATGTCTGAGATGATTCACGACACTACTGCTATTGGAGAAGCAGAGACGTGCATTGCCTTCCAGCTGACATCATTGCTTTTGAGAAATGCTGCAACATACGGTTGACAGTACAGTGCTCCAGTAGCATTTACAATGAGAATGCTACTGGTAGAGAAGAATTGCTCTTCACCCGCACTATACCTAGAATTCGGCTAATTTCAGAGACCAAAAATAGCGCTTTTGAAACTAAGCAATGAGTTATGTCCATGTGCTGTATGCTTTGATGTTGAGGTATGGTAAATTTTTGACAATATTAGTATAACTGACAAACTCATTAGGTACAAAAAATTGTGATCATAAAAAACAATACGGTGGCCCATTTTTTTGACCAAATCCCATCAGTTTTGTATTTCAACAATCGTCCAAATCAGGTTATACTCTCTATTTTCATGTTTGCCAATTCGTTAAAGCGTATCAAGATATTTTCGATCAATACTTGCGATACCACTGTTCAAGAAAAGATTTACTGTTTTTAGAATGCAACTAGTGAAATTCAAATTTGACTAACAAAAAAGCAAACGTACCACTCTAAAAGGTTACCAACAGAACAATTGTACCTCTTAGTAGAAGCAGTCGATATTGCACTCGCTTTATTATGTGAACAGCAAATCTAAGTGACTCAATTAGAAATTCCAATTGAGAATTCTATATTTTTTAAAAATCAAGAAAATCAGTAAGTAAGCGGAAAACACAATGAACTGGTCGCTGTTTATGAGAGCTATTTTCCAAGAAATGATGAGATATGAAGTATTACCATCTTTACCTACAATAACGCTCGACTTTTGCAAAAACTTGACTTCACATAAAAATCTGTCGCAAGGGTCGCATCGTCATAACTTCTTCAGAATAGATATTTTTTGAAAGGAAAAACGGTGTTGGACTCAACTCATCCAGATGAATCTTA